GTGTATAGTTTTGTTGCACTTGTGTACTCTGAGATTCTGAACATGGGTCAGTGGAAGTTTTTAGTTGTCAGTACAAAACTAGGTTATGGGAAATCACTTTATGATGAGTTGTACCCACAAAGAGTACATATTTAATAATATGTTCCTTGTACTACTTATAATCAAATAACGGGGACTGTGACATTTCATGTCTTGTTCCTTTTGTTTTAATATTTTTAGTATTCTGTTAGTAATATAAACATCAGTACTTCATATGCCATCGGTACCCCCTGAACACAAAGGAGTTTTTTTGTAAGCTTGTTTTCATTAATTTTAGGAAGCAATCCAAGGTTGATGAGTTGCTATCAGTCAGTGAAGATCTCTCCCGCAGAGTTAGTCAAGAAGAAATGGCTAGTTTGAAGTTATTACGTGTTACCAGTGAATATGAAAGGTGACATTCTATATTCATTTACATACAAAATATTGTTTGTCAAAAAAGTTATTGAATGAACAGTGCCTAAAAAACAATGCCTGCTTTATGTGCACTAAACTTGGTGGCTAATGTTGATTCTGACAGATTTAAACAGTCTTCATGTCAGACCACTGATGAGTTGCAAAGACAGATGCATGAAATGAAAGTCAATGAGGCAAGGTACAAGCAGATAGAGGAACAGTTGAAAAGACAATTGGAAGAAACAGAAGAGAAAAATAAGCGTTCAAAAGAAGAATTTGGAAGACGATTGATAGAAACACAGAAAAAATTGACATTGAAAGAAAATGATATGGAAAAGTGAGTATAATGTATTGTCTCCCAAAGGAGATTTAAAATACAAATTAACTGTCAGATATTTACTTGACAGTAAAAGTAGTTGTGAGAGATGGATATGTATGATTATGCTTACACAGTACACTGTCATAGTCGGGGGGGGGGGGGGGTAGTTTAACAGGTTTGAGAGAAAGCCAACTGGAAGAGGAAAAAGGTTTTTTGTGTGAGATAGAAGTGAAGTAAAGCAAAAACGTTTTTTGTCTTGTATGGCTTGACCAAAAAATCTTTCAAAAACTATAATTTTAATCTTGTTTATTCTTTGCAGATTACGGGAAAGTGCAGAGACAAAAATGAAAGTAGCTTTGGAGGAGTTGTCAAGGCAACAGAAAGAGTTCCAGGATCAAATCACTGTACTTGAAGAACAAGCAAGGTATGTAAAAAAGACCTGAAACAGATGTTAACCTGTTCATTCTCCCACTACATCATGGGAGTTTTGGGTTTAGCAGTATATGTATACAAATTATAAGTTACGTTCATATCAGCAATCTCTGTAAGAACAAGCTGATGGGTACTATAA